CATTTGTTAGTGTCAAGACAGGAGTAATGGAAGTCTTTGACGAAAAGTGTGTTCCTATGTATCATATAAGAATGCCTTTGAACAACTTTACAGACAGGATCTCGCCATTCCATGAGGAAGTCATAGCCAACGAGAGGNCTCGGGTAGGTCTTCATTCAAAGTCGCTGCGGGAAAGCCAACTTTATATAAGGCCGCAGCTCTCGCGTGATTGCGAGACATTCTTCCCTACGATTCATTTTTGGATCGGTGACCTGTATTCAAAATGCCTCGAGGGTTTTTCGCGCGCATAGTTGCGACTCCTGTGCCAAGACCTCTACAGTCACTTCAAAAACGCCTCCGTTATGTTTTTGGATTCGGTGACTCCCTAGGGCAGTAGACTCTTTCAATCGCTTCATACCATCTATGTGCTCCTTAATCCTCACGTGGAGTGGTCTTGCCGTTTCGCCAATATACTCATCACCACAATCACGGCAAGTAATCTTGTAGGCCACCCCAGACATGGTACAATCACCTTCCCTGCCAGCTGGGCAGACCACACAGTTTGAGATTGTACAAAGGCGATCGTATAGCCTGTTCCGAACCAGGCGCTTCTTCAGATTGAAAGGTGGTACGTTTACTATGGCAACCGCATTTTCCAGTCCCGATCTCTTTAGACACTTCCTGACAGCGGCACTGACCTCATCAGAGATGAACGGTAGTACAAAGGGAATCTTCCCATCGATCGAGGTACTACCATATCTGAGGATCACGCCGCCAGACGAAGCTCTTCGTGTGGTTGAAAAATTCTTGAAAAACTGTGGTTTTTTAAATATGAATTCAAAAAATTGTGAAAAATTGTGGTTGAAAACTTCAGTATCCACCGCGATCAAACCGACGAGAAGTGACCGGGAGAAGTGGCGCCAAAACATCAGAACAGTGCTTTCCTTCCCCTACTAGCGGGATAGACGCCAAAGAATAAGAAGAAGAAGGATTTTATCCAATCAGAGCTGCTCGATGACAGACGCCTTGGCTTTTTAGGAGTTCTACATTGAACCACCGTCTCCCCCCAGACTAGATTCTGTTTTTCAGTAGGTGGAGAGAGCTGCGAAGTTCAAACGCAGGAGACGAAGCCTCAAA